GGCTGGCCTGGGGCGGGGGCTGGAGCTGGGACTCCTGCGCTGCTGCCCGCCCAGCCCCGCCCCGCGGCCTCCGCCCATTTGGGGACAGAGGCGTGGTCTCCAGTGGGGCAGGAGGGCCAGGATTGCTGCGCATGCGAACTGGCCCCGCGCTGTGGGGCGAACTCGCAGGGAAGTGGCTGCAGAGCTCCCCCGGAGAATAGGAGGGGGACTCGGGCGTCCGCGCGGCCCAGCTTGACCCCTCTTGTTCTCCCTCCCTCCCTTTCGACCTCGCTCTGTCCGCTGTGGAACATCTCCGGGATCCCCCAGGGCTAAGTCCAGGTCGGCAGGTGCCGGGGGGTTCCGTGTAAGCCCCGCGGAAGGAGGGAGGGCCGCCGAGCTTTGGGCATGCATCGCGTGCAGTGAGCGCGGCAAGGGCCAAGGCAGCGGGCTGGGAAAGGAAGGGCTTGAAGAGGCGCGCGCTTGTCTCTTCCCCATCACCATGTCCATCTCCATGCCCATCTCCATATTCAAGGTTCGGAGTGGAGGCGCAAAGCGGGCCCTTGTCAGGTGCGGAAAGCCGGCTCCAGGCTCGTATTGACCATTTACGCGGAAGCAGGAGGGGCATATTTGGGGAATAAGACTGAGAAGGTTTGTGAATGACCAGTCCTGGCGCACAGTAGGGGCTCAGGGACTGCGGACTTCCTCTCCACCGCTCTGGGACCGCAAGGCAGCCACACTCTGATCTGTTCACCTCGCAGATCTGCTCATCAGAGACCTGTATCAGCCCGCTTTGCAGATGGAGAAACTCGGGCCCACTCATCTCCCCCTCCAGGGCTCCCAGTCTCCATTAACGAGTTCATCCACCTCTCAGTCACTCAGACTAATTGGGTCTCTTCCACCACCTCATAGTCTCTGTCCAGACGTTTCTCCCCTGGGTGTAGCTCCAGGCCCCTCGGGAGCCTCTTACCGAACCAGAGAAGACTCGAATATGCAGTCATGACCACCCCCCTGAGAACCATGTTCCAAGTCTGTGCCCCCTGCCTGCCTCCCCACTGATCCTTACCCCATTCCACTGCCTGTGCCCTGGGCTGTAGCCTCCCCAGGCCCTCAGTGCTCCTCTCGAGCACACTTGAGACTCCCACCCTCAGACCTCATTGGTGCTATTTGCCCCCGTGGTCTGAAAGGCTCTTCCTTTCCTCTCCACAGGCAAGTCCCGATATCAGGCTTCAGCTCTCATGCCTTGTCTCCACCAGGAGGACCCACCCACCCAGCCTCTTCTGCATTCCCACCAGGTTGTTTGTGTCTCTTCCAGAGCCCTAAACTCATGCTGCCTCTCTCGGAGTTACTGGTGCAGTCTCCTGGGGGCTGAGGCTCATTCTGGGGAAGACAAAGTGCTCGGTGAAGCCAGGCAGCTCTGGTGCTAGTCCTCACTCCGCCCAGTGGGATCCTGGTAAGTCCTCTACGCTTTCCAAGCCTCATTCTCCTGTCCGTAAAATGGGCTTCTAGCAGAAGTGTGTGGTGATCAGGTATAGGCAAGTTATGGGGCCCAGTAAGGCCCCATCATGTAGGGCATTTAGCAGCACTGCATCTGGGCTGGGCAACTCCCACATTTTCAAAAGTGGAGCTGGGGCCATGTCTGAGAAAACACATCTGCCTCAGTCCCCAGAATGGTAGAGTTCAGAGGATGCTCAGGCCCCCTTTTATATTTCAGAGTGTTGGAGCCACAAGTGGGGTGTTGTGTGTTGGTTGCAAACATGGACTCTGGACTCACTACCTGGTCTCATATTAGCTGTGTGACCTCAGGCAAACAACCCAACCTCTCTGTGCGCCAGTTCCCTCACCTGTAAAATCAGTATACAGCGCTCACACTGTGGAATTGTGGGGATTAAATGGCCTCATCTAGTAAAGACCTAGAGTGGCCCCTGGCTTGGAGTAAGTGCTCTCAGCATGGCTTAGCTGATGTTATTTTCATCTAGTCCAAACACCTCATTTTGTGCAGACACTGGGTCCCTGGAAGCAGAGACACATACACATGACTGGTTAGATGCCGCAGCATCCTAGAATGTCGGCACTGGAAGGGCCCACCTCAGAGCCCATCTTTGGCAGCTCCCACCTTCTCTGACAGGTGAAAAAAGGAGCCTAGAGAGAGATAGTGGCCTGTGCAGGGCACCCAGCCTGGTGGAGTGGGGAATGCATTGGCCCTAGTCTTCTTGGAGCGGGGAGGGGGAGGTTTCCAGACAAGTCATGAAGATTCTGGCCTCATGACAAGTTTGGGGCAGGGGTGTGGCTCTGGTGTTGCTTTGGGCCCAGGACTCTGCTGGTCATTTTTATAAACTGAGTCATCAAATGGTGCCATCATGGGGCCTGCTGTGTAGGGGCGTTTCCCATTTAATTCTCATAACCACCCTCTTGAGGAGACCTCATTAGCCCCATTTTGCAGACGATAAAACTGAGCCTCAGGTTGATGTTCTAGTCACACAATTAGGAAACGGCAGAACTGGGATCCAAACCTGCCCTGTCTGACCCAGCTTGTGCTCTTCCCCTCCTCCTCTTCTCTCCCCCAGGGAAAAGACACTTTTATAGGCTCCTCGAATGGCTGTCCAACTTCTGCTTGCATCTCCCTGGTAACTGGGAGCTCATGCCCTTACAGGGCAGCCCTTTCCACGCTACTTGGGAGAGCCTTTTGTCACCCAGACCTGATCCACCTCCCTCTTTCTAGTTCTGCGGGACGCCATACCCCCGACGCCACCAGAGCCCTGGAGACAGAACCTTCTCTGCGCCAGGACAGAAATCTCCTGTCTTCATTGCTCCTGTAACAAGTGAAACTCGTATAATAATGATTTCTTCTAAAACCTCAGCCGATCTAATTGCCTAGCTCTTGTTTAAGAACCTTAAAGGAAGCCCCGTGGCTTGGGGAGTGGCTCAAAAATGGAGGCTCCGAAGGCCTGGTGTTTTGGGGTGCAATATTCAAGTGACCATGTGAACCAGTCCCCCCACTGCCATGTAGAGAAGCCGAGTCAGTCACAGTACTTTCCAGTCAGAAGCGGCTGCCTGTGGTTTTCTCCTGAGGGTTCAGACATGGGAGGGTCACGTTGGACGCCTGGACTTCCTTTTACTTTGTAAGTGCAGCTTTCTCATTATTTTCACGTGGTCTTTGTTGTGATCGTTCATAATTTGGAGGAGCTCCTCGTGCGCTGTTACACTTCTGAATTTCCCTTTCTGAACATGGATGCTGCCTCCTTTGCCCACTTTTCTGTTTTGGTTCATATATTCTGGTTGTTAATCTGTTGCTGGCTGGAGATCATGCACATGTCTCTCCCACTGTCAACCTCTATTATCTTTGTTCTTCGTTGAACAGAAATCTTTATTCTAGATACATTCAATCCTAGCTCTGTGAAACTAACGTAAAATGAATGTCAACAGTAATTGAAAAATTTTTTTAAATTAAAAAAATACAAATTCAAGCTTCTAAAAATCCTCCCTTTATGAGTTTGAAATTTGTCTAAAGAGTCCTTCCCCACCCCTAGGTCACAAAGACGTTCTCCTTTACTCTCTTCTGTTATTTTTATAGTTGTACATTTCAAATGTAGGGCCAGGATCCAGTGAGAGTTCACTCTTAAATGCAGCGTTAGATGAGGCCCCAGTGGTACTTCCTCCTCAGAGCGAGCCGCACCACGGACTGCAGATCCACATCCGTCCCGTGCGTTAGTTTCCCGCCTGCACAGGCTGCCTCCGAGCTCACCTCTTTTTGGGGGTCTGTGCATTAGCACTACTCTGTTTGTATTGCCACGGCTTTGTGGTCCTATCCAATAAGGCAAATGTCACCTCTAACTCTTAATTTTTAACAGTGACTTAGCTATTTGTTTATGTTTTAGAGTAAGCTTATTGAGTGCCTAAAAAAAATCATAATGGCATTTTGATGAGGGCTACATTGAATTTAGAGATTAATTTGGGAAGAATGGACATCTTTATAATATTATGTAGTTCCAGCCAAGAACATGAATTATCTTTCTATTCAGATCATTGTCTCTGCCCTTTATTAGAACTTAATATTTTTTCTCCATGGAGGCCTTGCACGTTCACTTAATTTCTAGATGCTTTATATTTTTATTGCTCTTGTAAGTGATATTTTCTCCCAAATTATTATTTTTTTAAATGTCAAACCAAGAGAAAAGTGGAAAGAACGATGAATACCCTTTATCTTTTACTTGAATTCATCAGTCGTCAATATTTGCCACATTTGCTTCATCTCCCTCTCTCTTTCAGTCACACATTCATACTTCTTTCTGAACCATTAGAAAGGAAGTTCCAGACATATATGTATGTTATCTTTTATGAAAATGACATTTTCTAGCTGGTTATGCTTGGTGTAGAGAAATGCTATTGGCTTTTGTACGTTGATCTTGACTCTGGTAATCTTGTTACGAGACTGCTGGCAACCACAATTAGAATTACATTTTATATCATGATCCTATGTCTTTACCGTATGTGATTCACTTGATATTTCTATTTTGTTCTATTAAATTTTTTTTAATGTGAGTTTCAGACTCTAAATTAATTTTATGACCCACTCATGGGTCTCGGTTCATGGTTTGAAAACTGCTGCTCCAGACGAGGTTGGGGGTCCTTCCCCTGGGCTCCCACTACGGGCCTGATCGGACTCCAGTGTCATTCCTTACACAGGAAAATGTAGCCCTGCCTGACTGAACTCAGGGGTCCAGAGGCAGACAAACACTCACAGTATTTGTCATTCAAACCCCAAAGTGTCCCCTCCCCAGAGCTGAATTCTGAGCTGGGTCAAGCCTGGCCTCCTCGCTCTGCCACAGACTTGTCGTGTCATGCCAGGCTGGTCATTGTTCCTCTCTGGGCCTCCTTTTCCATTCATTGGAAGTAGGGGGAAGGAGGCCATCTCTTAGGGCTCTTCAGGCTCATTTTCATAAACTGAGTCATCAAATAGAGCCTTCCTGTCTCACCATAATGGTTATTTGCTCTTCTGCGTAGGTAGGGCCTTGGGTGGGGGAAACTGAGGTGAGGCCTTACCTTTGAGCTCTACTCTCACTTCCTGCCTAAAGAGCTGCTGGCTCCTGCTCCCAAGTGCCAGTGAGACAAGTGGGGCTGAGGAGATTCTCCTTCCACTGAGGCATGGATAATGTTCTGGCTGTGTGTGTGCACCGCCAAATTGCTGTCTGCCTCCTTCTCTCTGGAGCTCGGAGACCTGGCCTCTGGCCTTGTGCAGCTGCGATGCTTGGACTCCAGGTGCAGTGGATGTCAGGCATGGTCGCTAGGGCCCATGGTCAGGGCCCAGGAATGGCAGGCAGGAAGCCCAGGCCCAGCAGACTTGTGTGACCTTGGGCAGGTCACTCCCCTACTTGGGCCTCAGTCTCCACATCTGGCCAATGGAGATGATCATAACCCCTGTTACCTGGTTGGGTATCCAAGGAAATCAGGGGCTCAGAGATGCTTTGTAACATGATATCGCTCTACCTTGATTTAGATGTTTAAAATAATATCTTAAAATATTTTTTAAAATTATTTTCTTGCATCTTTTAGATTCAGTCCTAAGGTTTTTCTTTTTTCCTATTATAAATGCTGCTTTAAAAAAATGACTTTTCCTGACTACTTGTTACCGCTATCTAGACATTAAATTGATTTTAGTACATTGATTTTGTATTTGGAAAACTTGATACTTTTTCATTAATTTAATCAATTTTATATATATAGGTTTTTTGGTGGGTTTTATATGTAAACTAATGGTTCTCAGTGAGGTGTATTGACCCCTAATAGGGAGATTTAGAAATTTATAATGGATTTTTTTACACATCAAAATTCATATTATTTTATTTTAAAGTATTTTTCTTTACTAATCTTTTATATTAAAATTAAAGAATTATATTGATTTTTTTGAAATATATATGTGTGGACAGATTATATTATCTAAATATTTCACTTCAGGATAGGGAGTATGACAGTAATTTGTTAGAGAAAGGGGAAGTTGGATCTGACAGGGTTGCAAACCTCTGAGGTTTTGATAATTTTTTTCTTATTTCAAGTCATTATATTTTTTAATCTTTATCTTGCCTTGCTGTGCTCTCAAGTCTTCAACAATGCTGAACAGAAGATGGGCACATCCAGTCTTCTTCCAAATCTTAAAGCAAATTCTTTCAATGCTTTTTACTAAGATTCCTTTAAAATCACGAATGGATGTTGAATTTTATATAAAAAATTTCTCCCTCATCTGAGATACTCAAATTTCTCTTGATGTGATGTACCACATTGACAGATTTCCCTTTTTTATTCATATATTCAGATTGCTTTTCTAATACTAAACCCACCTCGAATTTCTGGGATAAACCCATCAAGGTGCTGATGTGCATTATTCTTTTTACATACTGCCACATTCTCTTGCTAGCATTTCGTGTAGGATTTTGCATCTCTGTTTGAGTGAGACAAGCCTATCATTTTCCTTGCTCATGAGATCAGTTACGCTGGCGGGGTAAAGGGAAGTAGCAGCACAGGCTCTCCGGGGGCCCAGAAATCTGGGCCCACGGACACACCGCCCGCCTCCGCGCAGAAACCGTGTGCGGGGCGCGCCCCCTGGCGGCCGCGGGGAGCAAGAGCCCGATGAGCCGAGCAGGGCGAAGGTGGTCTGGTGACACGAGCAGCCCAGCTTTAGAGATGGAGTGACCAGGACCCACAGTGACACAGCAGGGCTCTAACTGCGGTGTTCTGACCCTTCTGGGCTGTGAAGTTTCTGATCTTAATTACTTTACCTGTAAAGTGAGGATAGTCTACCTGCCAGTCAAGGAAATGGGAGGAAGTTGTCAAAGCACAGAATTCAGACTTTCCAGAAGATTGGGAGGTATCCTCTCCTGACCTCAGCATTCTTGCTTTCTTGACTGTTATAGCACTTGAGAAATGGCAGCTACGGGAAAGGGAATTCAGGATTAATGATAATTGCCCAGAATAGAGAGTCCACATCAGGGAGGTCTGAGTGAAGGAAGCACATTTGTTCTTTTATCGGTTTTTGTTCATTATTGCTCATTTATTCAACAAATATTCATTGGACACTGTGGTAGGCAGAATAATGGTCCCCCAAAGATGTCCACGCCCTATTCCCTGGAACCTCTGAACACGTTAGGTTACATGGGAAAGGGGAATTAAGGTTATAGATAGAATGAAGGTTGTTGATCAGCTGACCTTAAGAAGGAAGATAATCCTGGATTATCTTGGTGGGCCCCATGTGATCACATGGGTCCTTAAAAGTGTGGCTATATTCAGCTCGTGCATAAGCTGGGAGCTGCTCAGCTGGGATGGTGGGCCTCGCCTTCCTTGTGCTCTTTCATCCTGGGCTGCTTCATGCCATGGGGGTCTCAGGGTTCCAAGATGGTAAAACGCGGAGGCTGCAAGACCTCTTGTGACCTGGACTCAAGATACAAGGGGTGAGGAGGAATTCCCAGAACTCGTGGCTATCTGTAACCTGCTAATGGATTTTGAAGAGGTAAGCTGTCCCAGAAGGAGCGGTGTGAAGACTGAGAGGGCCCTCTGGGCAGAGGTGCAGAGCTCTGTCTGGGAATGAAGAGGACAGATCTGGGACACGTTCTAGGTTTAACGTGGTTGGAGGAGTAAATATTGAGAGTTGAAGGTGCAGAGATAAATTACAGGTACCCTGAGAAGGGCCTTGAATGACATACCTGCAGTTTTAACTTGATCATGTGAATGTTTTGACAAGTCCATATCTGTTTTGAATTCAAGAGTCTGTTATAGCAGCCCACATGGTGGTATAGAGGCTGGAGAGGGCAAGACTGGAGACAGGGAACCCAGGGGCCTGGTACAGTGGTCCATGGGACAGACAGGAGGCCCAGGCCTGAACCGGGCAGGGGCTGTCAAAATGGCAGGGATGGTGTCCTTGAAACTTGGTGATTCATTGGGTATTCTGTAAGAACGTTCACCTCTCAGGCTTCTTGTACTTCTTGCTAATTTAGAGGGGCCTTGGGATGGGGAGATGTCTGGATGAGAAGAAGGATAAGAATTGGGGGAGGGGGAGTGAGTGGTAGCAGCATGAAGGACTGAAAGAAGATGGAAGCACCAATTAAATCTGGGGCAAATACTGTTAAAGTGTGCAGCTGAAACTTATTGAATTTCATTAACCGATGTCATCATAAAAAATTAATTAATTTAAAAAAATAAAGAGATCATTGCAATTCCAGTCAATCAATCAATCAATCAATCAATCAATCTGGGGCAAATAAGGACAAAGGTGCAGCCCCAGGGAGGGACCTGACCATATTCCTCTCCAGAATGAGCAACTCGTGTCCCACTCATGGCTGAGAGCCCAAGGCTTGGCACAGAGCAGGTATCTGTCCAGGGTGGCTAATGACTTAATTTTGTTAACTCGTTTTTGTCAAGCCCCCTAAAAACTCATCTTCTATCCTTAGCGGAAATGCCTTTTGGGAAGTTTGTGGATGAATTGAAGTGGAAAGAAAATTAAATGGCGTGTTTATTGGAGTAAAATGAACAGCCTTTAGGACAGGCAGCTGTGACATCTAGAATGGTTCTGAAATGGCCAGGAAGGAACTTCAATGTATGTAGTGGGTGGGTGTGGCAAGAAGTGTACTGTTGAGAAATGGCATGAACGCAATCCTAACTCATTTTCAGCAGCCCCTTTTACAACAGGCAGGTGTTTTAACCTAGTATAAAAAGTCTTGGTCGGGTCCAGTGCTCGTTCTGCCACCCACACCCTAGTCTGGAAAACTGTGGTGGCATAAGGCAGAAGAATTGGTCAGTAGGAGGATCTGGAAAGGGGTTGATTCCTCAGGTTTGTCCAGCAGTTTTGAGGTACCCCTGGCAAGCCCAGACTAGGCACTCTCATGGGAAGGACCCTATTCAGAAAACCCATTATAATTAGATTCAGACTACACCGTGGTGCTAACCCTTAAGACAATCCTACATTTTACAGATGCAGAATTCAACGTTTAAAGTTAAATGACCACAATCACACAGCTTTTCAGTGGAAAACCAAAATCCTAAGCCAGGTCTTTAGACATAAGTATGTAACAGCATCCTGTCAGGACTAATGCTAATGGGTTCCAACTCAGAGCCTGCTGCCTCGGTGTAGTGTTGGGTTGGGGTTACTGCCCTCCACCCCTCATGCACGTGAAGGCCTCACAGCTGTCCCCAGCCCAGCTGCTGGCATCCACATAACTAGAACTCAGGCTCTCACTCCAGGTGTCCTTTCCAAGTGACTGGTGATTCACTTTGGTTGGGGGTGCACTTGTCCTTCAAAATTCCTCTACCTAATCCTTAAATGGTTGGTTTCTAGGACTTAGTCTGAGACCCTCTTCTTTTCTTCCGTGATCTCATCCACTCCCATAGCTTCAAATATTGTGTATGTTTTTGATTCTCAGATTTATATCTTTAGCCCAGATCTCTCAGCTGAGCTCTAGATCCACATATTTACTCTCTCCTCAAGCGCTCTATCAGGATACAGTAAGCCCTCATGTAACAGCGTCAATAGGTTCTTGGAAACTGTGCCTTTAAGT